CTGCCTGTCTCAACTGCTCAAAAGCTTGTTGGGCCTGGGTTGACCAGTGAAAAGCGTCTTGTTTCAGCAATTGGGTCAACGGGGTAGCTATTAGGCCGTAGTTTTTGATGAAGTGGCGGTAGTACCCAGTCAAGCCCAAGAAGGCCCTCAACGCTTTCACACTTTTGGGTTGCGGCCAACCCATTATACTGGAGATTTTATCTAGGTTGGCCGCTACAGTTCCATTCTCTACAACATGTCCCAAGTAGTAAACTTGGTTTTGTCCAAAGGAGCACTTGGACTCTTTAGCGAACAACTGGTGGGCCTCAAGTGTTGCAAGGGTGACCTATAGATGATTCAGATGTTCCTCCCAATTGGGGCTATAGACCAATATGTCATCAAAGAAAACAAGGATGAACTTACGTAAATATGGCTGGAATATGTCGTTCATTAATGCTTGAAATGTGGCTAGAGCATTGGTCAGCCCAAATGGCATGACCAGGAACTCATAGTGGCCATCATGTGTCCTAAAAGCCGTTTTGTGAACATCCTCCCTATGTACCCTTATTTGATGATACCCAGCTCGTAAATCTAATTTTGAGAATATGGTGGCTTGACTGAGTTCATCAAGCAGCTCATCAATGACTGGTATTGGAAATCGGTCTTTAATGGTGATATTGTTGAGGGCTCTGTAATCAATACAAAATCGCCACGTCCCATCCTTTTTTTAACAAATAATACCGGTGAAGAGAATGGGTTGTGACTGGGTTGTATTATCCCTTGCTTAAGCATATCTTGACCTTGCTTCTCGATTTCAAATTTTTGAAAGAAAGGTATCGGTAGGGTCTTACATTGGTTGGGGCAGCTCTCGGCAAGAGGGGGATGCGGTGGTCATGCTCCCGGCGTGGTGGAAGTTCTTGGGGTTCTTCGAACACGCTGCCATAGTGCTGAAGGAGTTGTTGTAGGCGGCTTTGGAAGTCTCTAGGCCCATCTGGGCTGCTGTTAGCTAAAGATGGGCTGGTCCAATTTGAGTCCATGTGCATGAATATGGGCTGATCCGGATCTCCTATTTGCTTTGTTAATGTTGCAAGACTGATGGGCCTTGGATCCTTGCATGTTTGCCCTTGTAGATGGACTATAGAGTTCCCTGATGTGAAGTCCATGGTGAGACGGGCCCAGTCACAGATCACGGGCCCTAACTGTCTTAACCATTGAATGCCTAGCACCACGTCCGCTCCACTGGGATGAAGAGGATATAGGTCCACCGCAAACTGGTGACCCTGAACCTTTAGTGGTAAGCCCATGCAAATGCTATTGCAGGATAGGCTATTACTGTTGGCCACATGAACCGTAAAAGCCGTTGTTGGTTGAACCAGAAGTCCCATTTTATCCACCAAGACTTGAGTTATGAAGTTAAGGGAATTGCCTCTATCTATGAGGATTGACACTTGGCGTCCCTGGATTAGCCCAACAACTCTCATTGTTTGAGGAGACACAAGTCCCGTAAGGGCTTGTAGAGATATTTCAGGTGTGCCATTGGGTTGTATTTCCCACCCTGGGTTAGATTTCCCACAACCGGTGAGGTCATCTTCCTCTTCGGCATCTGTTTGGAGGAGAAATGCTTGTTGTTTCTTGCACCAATGGCCTGGCCCGAATTTCTCTTCGCTGTTGTAACAGAGTCCTTTGTCTCTACGGGCTTGCATCTCTGCCCAAGTCAGTCGTTTGAAAGGAACCAATGGGCCTGGGCCCAGTAT